TCGACGCAAAGCTGGGAGCATTATCGTTTATGTCGGTGATCTCCACTGTTACACGAAACAGCTCCATTGGGTTTTCCAGAATGAGCTGGAAATGTAAAGCACACGGCGTCGTTTCTCCACACAGCGTCTCTCTGTCTATTCTCTCCTTGATGAGGAGGACGCCCCTGTCTCTGTTCAACTCGATATATTCTGCACTGTCTCCCGAATGAATACGAGCTCTGCCCGATTTGAGCCTTTTGAAATCTAAACCGAGATCCTGAGCTAAATTACAGACTAATGAGCCTTTCTCCATTTCCTCGGGAATGGAGTAGCTGACTTGCCCGAACACAGAGGCGAGAGAAAGGACCAAGATGAACAACAGTACTTGCCGTCTCATTGTTTAGTCGCTGTATTCCAGATCGTTTTTCAAAAACTGTAATCCATACGAATGGTGTTAAAATATCCGACCGTATCCAAACGAAATGATCAACAAAAACTAACAGCCTTCCATATCCCAGAGTAGATTTCCCTTTAAACGAGGACAGGCGGTTTGTGGCTGCTTTATTGTCTACCGTGTCATAATATAAAGGGGGAGGTACAGATGCTACCGCTATCGAAGACTGCCACACTCTGGCCAATAGCGGCCCTTTCTGTTCAACACAGCAAACAGCAAGAGTTGGTAATGATGATGAGAGATACAGTTATTTAAATACAGACAAAATTATCATTATTATTACTATTATTATTGTTAGTATTATTATTATGACAAGCAGTAGTAGAGGAGTATTATCTGACTAGTCTCAGTACGATGTTGGTTTAAGTCTGAGATTTGAGTGTTTAATTATTGATTTACCCAAAGAAAGCATCCTTATTTTTCTCTACACATCCATGCATCATGTAACAACTTAAGAAAAATACTGGCCCGCCCCCCATCCCCTGCAGAAACAACTACAGACACATATACAGGCTTGCAAACACAAACATACTCGCCACTGGCAACAGCGTTAAGTTAAGTAATTCTAACAAAGACAGGAAAAAAGACCAGGGCCACAACAGTGACTCTGTCCATGGTGCTGATTGCACATTGATAATAGGTAGCGCCTTGTTGCGAATTTATCAGTTACAGAGAACATGCAAAAGGGTTACAACTGAAATTATCCCAAATGACCAACCTCTAGAGGAGAGTCAGGTTCATCCAGGATGCTCTTGTCACTCTGTATCCGCTGCATCGTCCCTGTAGAACTGGGGTCCATTATCAGCACGTTCTGACTACCGGCTCTGCCGAACTTACAGTCACTCTTTCTGGAGTCTGTCGTCCTGCACACCTCGTAATTGTACACGTGTTGGAGAGTCCCTGTCCCCAAAGTGTCTGAGTAACGTGGTGGATAATATGGGATGACAGGGAGACTGGAGTGATACAGGATGCGAGACTGTCTCCATCTGTAGATTTTCACTGATATAATAACCACCAAACACGTGATGAAGAGGAAGGAAACTACAGCCAAAGCCAAGACTAAGTAAAAAGTCAGGTTGTCATTGTACTCCTTGTCGTGTGAAAAGTCAGTGAACTCAGACAGCACTTCAGGGAAGCTGTCCGCCACCGCCACGTTAACAATGACTGTAGCTGAACGAGAGGGCTGCCCGTTGTCCTCCACTATAACACTCAGTCTTTGTTTGACAGCATCTTTATCAGTCACTTGGCGGATAGTTCTTATTTCTCCATTCTGTAAGCCCACTTCAAACAGCGCCCTGTCTGTGGCTTTCTGCAGTTTATAGGACAGCCAGGCATTCTGTCCAGAGTCCACATCAACAGCCACCACTTTAGTCACCAGATAGCCCACATCTGCTGAACGAGGCACCATTTCAGCCACCACAGACCCACCAGTCTGCACTGGGTACAGCACCTGAGGAGGGTTGTCGTTCTGGTCCTGGATCAGTATTTTCACACTCACGTTGCTACTGAGTGGAGGGGAGCCTCCATCCTGCGCTTTGACGCGGAAGTGGAAGTCTTTGATCTGCTCGTAGTCAAAAGAGCGCACTGCATGGATGACTCCACTATCAGCACTGACGGACACATATGAGGAGACTGGCACTCCGTTAACAGAGGAGTCCTCCAGTATGTAAGAAACACGGGCATTCTGGTTCCAGTCAGCGTCTCTGGCTTTCACTGTGAATATAGAGAGGCCTGGTGTGTTGTTTTCTACAATGTAGGCCTCATATGAGCTCCTCTCAAAGACAGGCGCGTTATCATTCACATCAGAGATCTGTAAGGTGAGAGTGACGCTGCTGGAGAGGGAGGGCACTCCCTCATCAGAGCACGTCACTGTTATATTATACTCAGAGGATCTCTCTCTGTCCAGATCACTGTCTGTCACTAAACTATAGAAATTATTTGATGCTGACATTATAGTCAAAGGAGTGTTATCGTTGATAAAACAGTTAACTTTACCGTTTTCATTTGAATCCGGGTCTTGAACGTTCATCATTGCTACAACGGTGTTTGGTTTAGAGTGTTCAGCTATCATGCTCACTTTTGACATAATATTAATCGTTGGTTTGTTATCGTTCATATCTACCACTTCAACTATGACTTTACAAGAATCTGTTAGTCCACCATCATCACTTGCACGTATGTTAATATGATAATTCCGTGCACTTTCATAATCAATATTTCCAATCAGTCGAATTTCACCACTGTCTTCGTTTATCTGAAACAGTGCATGGGCTTGATCTAAACTGTTTGTAATTGAATATTTTATTCTACCATTTGTTCCATAATCTGCGTCTGACGCAGTAACGCTGGTGACAACTGTCCCTTCTGGGGCATTTTCAAAGACGGTTGCTGTGTAGGTGGACTGTGTAAAAACTGGAGCATTATCATTGGCATCTAACACTGTGATGAAAATCCGAATAGTTCCTGACATCTGCGGCTCTCCTCCATCAAAAGCAGTTAAAACTAAAGATATCAGTTCCTCCTTTTCTCTGTCTAAATGCTTCTGTAAAATCATTTCGACCTTTTCTGTTCCATCACCCTGACTATCTCGCTTCAATACAAAATTACCGGTAGGCTTAAGATCATATTTTTGGAGACCATTTTTACCGACGTCAAGATCTATAGCTCTGTCTAACACAAATTTTGCTCCGATTACGGCAGATTCGCTGATTTTAAAACTGACTTCGTTTTTTTCAAAGGTGGGAGGATTGTCATTTATATCTGTAATCTCGACTGTAACACTGTAGAACTCCATGGGATTCTCTAAAATTATTTGGAAATGTAAAGCACAAGGCGTCGTCTGTCTGCAAATCGCTTCTCTGTCTACCCTGTCTTTGATGAGGAGGACTCCTCGGTCTTTATTCAGCTCGATGTACCCAGCGCTGTCTCCCGTATACACACGAGCTTTACCTGATTTCAGTCGTTTTACATCTAAACCCAAATCCTGAGCAATATTACCGACTAAAGAGCCACTCTGCATTTCCTCAGGGATGGAGTAGCTGACCTGGCCGAGCACTGAGCTGAGGAGAAGGACCAAGGAAAACAACAGTACTTGCCGTCTCATTGTTCTGCCCGACATTTTCCTCACGAAATGTAACGAGACAAATTATGTTCCACGATGCCCGGATATTTACGGTCCATTACAGATGATGAAACAAGAAAAACCAGTACAAGATTTCACTCCATAAGAGTCCAAATCGATGAAAATAATCCTGCACGGTCCTCGTTTTAGTGTACGCTGACGTTGTGAGCCCGTGTGTGTCCTTCTCTCACTGATATCGTCATTATGGGGGAGGTTTCTCTTTAAATCCACCGTGAAACATTAACACACTGGCCAACAGCGGCCCTAAGAGTACATAGCAATGAACTACAGGAAACTCTCAGAGAGAGAAAAAAACAACACTGTACTTGAAAGCACAGAATTTGTATTTGTACCACGAGTAAGAGCCACTCAGATAGATGACAAAAGAAATGCAAAATTGAATAAAGGGGGGTTTACTTGATAATCTCGTTAAAAACGTCATTCGTACATGCCGTTGTGATACAGTGGAATGACAATAAGGTATTTTGATATAAGGAGGAGGAGTTCAAATAAAATAAAAGCGTGTGTTATCGTCATGTTACGGTCACATCATTGTAAATACATATTGTGCAAATGTTTGCATGTAAAAGATAGATAGATAGATAGATAGATAGATAGATAGATAGATAGATGATCTGGCACAAATATAGGCTCGAATATAACATCACATTCGCGACTGGCAACAGCATTGATTAAAGAAAACGGAGAAATTACCAGGGGGTAAAGTGCCTCTGTCCATGGTGCTGATTGTAGACTAGTGTTAATGACGTCTGGCTGGGAATTTATGAGTCACACAAAACATGCAATAATGTTTCAACTGAAATCATCCCAAGTGACCAACCTGGAGAGGAGAGTCTGGTTCATCCAGGATGCTCTTGTCACTCTGTATCCGCTGCATCGTCCCTGTAGAACTGGGGTCCATTATCAGCACGTTCTGACTAC